CAAAATGAGATGCATCATGAATATAAATTAGTTCCAAATGAGGGGTGTCATCAGGGTAGCCAAGGTGGCCCATCCCAGCTGGGGTGGGAGGGGCACTGGAAGAGGTGCAGAACCTTTTGTGTGCTCCTCCTGGCTCTTGGTTTTGCACATACCTTTCTGTGCACCAGTAGCAAGCTCTGCAGTGGTAACCAACACCTGCAGAGGCACAGGAATCTTAGCGTCACCAAGATGAGCTCTTGTGCAAATGTCTGATTTGAAAATGGGAGCTGATGAATCCCTGCCTTTGCAACTTACCTAACTTTATGTCACCCTTTGTTTACTGACTTGTTCACCCAGCAAATGTGAACTAGACTTGTGATGGCTGCAGGGGTACAGAGAGAGATGAAGCCACTCTGCCGTCTGTACAGAACCATAGGGTGGTGGTCAGGTGCGAATCACGCCAGGACACATAATCAATGCTGAAGTCGGGGCGTGGGGGTGGGGGTGAGCCTGCCAGGGCCACTCGATGGCCCTTCCTCCCCACCTGCCGTGGAGGTCTGCCCTGCCTGCTCCTGGGCCTGCTGCCTCTTTGACATTAACTGGACTTAGGGTACTGGGTAAATCACTTAGCCCCACTCCACTGTATTCAGTTCTATAAAATGAGAATTAAGAATAGTGATAGTGACACTAGAGGGTGGTGATAAGGATCAAATGACATAAAATATTTGCAAGTGCACTGTAAACTGTAAGTGAAATTCAAGTATTAGTACTGCAATTACTATATACTTCCAGGAAAGGGAATTCTTGAGGTGGCAGAGGTAAAATACCGTAAATTCTTCTGTGTGATTTTTATGAGTCAAATATTCCATAATCTTAAAATAACTAAATCACAGTACATCTATATTAATGGGATAACATGATAACATTAAAATGGTAATGTAGTTATATTAAGGAAATATATATGCTACAAAGCCACATTTTGATAGACTAACAGGGCACATGTATGCAAACGTATTTACTTTTTGTGTGTGGTGGCAGGATTGAAGGTTGTTTTTTTTTTTCTTTTGACTTATCTGTATTTAATTTTTTTTAGTTGTAGGTGGACACAATATCTTTATTTTATTTATTTTTATGTGGTCCTGGGATTGAACCTAGGGCCTCACACATGCTAGGCAAGCGCTCTACCACTGAGCCACAGCCCCAGCCCTATAAATACATACATATTTTTAAAATAAGGAACATATAACCCTTAAAGTAATTTTGAACTCTGGTCCAATGGGAGAAGTAACGTTTCTGGGACTGATCCGGGAGTCCTTCCTGGGGTCACTGTCCCAGGCTGGTGGCATCAGGGGCGTCCCACCTGGAAGGCTGGCGGTGTTTCAGAGTCTGTCTCAAGGTCAGGAACTCTAAGGGGCCCGAGAGGAACTAATGCCTCGGCAACACCTGGGATCTCAATTTGTGAGCAGAGGGCAGCTGGGCGGGTGGCAGGGTGCCTGGATCTCCCACAGGGATGGCTTGCAGTGTTTTGGGCACCATAGCACCGGATTATTTCAATGACCTCCCCCTTCTCTGTAGCACTAGGGACCGAACCCAGGGTAACTCTGCCACTGAGCCACATCCCTACATCTCCAATCCTTGTCTTTAAAATTTTTTTTTTTTTTTGATGGGGCCTGCCTTGACCTTGTGAGCCTCCTGCTTCAGCCTCCCGAGTTGCTGGGATTACAGGGGGGCAATGCTCCACCTCGCCTGGCTGCAATGAGTTTTAAGTCAGTATTATTACGTTTGGTTGCTACAATGACAGAGGAAGCAAGCAACAGAGGTCTTCAGAGAAGGCCACTAGAGGCAGGCTGGTCTTCATGTATGTCCCCCCACCAAAGACAAGGCCTCCTTGCTAGCCCCCCACCCTCCTCCAGGATTGATTGTTCAGAAAGCTGAGTCTCAGGAAGGCGCATGATGACAGAAAAGGCACCAGGCTTCAGAATAAACCAGAAGTCCTGCTTTACAGGCCTGGCTCCTGCCACATTCAGCTGAGTGTCTTTGGGACAGTCAGTGTCTCTGAACTTTGCTTTCCTATTATTTTAATTGAAAGTTGGTTTTATTTTGGCATTTTTTTTGCTTTCTTACTAACAATGTCAGGTTATAATCATCTCAAAGAAGGAGTATGAGAAGCACATATGCAGCTGGGCATGGAGGCACATGCCTGTAATCTCAGCTACTCAGGAGGCTGAGGCAGGAGGATCACAGGTTTGAGGCCAACCTTACAATTAAATGAGACCTGTCTCAAAACAAAACAACAAAACAAAACAAAACAACAACCACAAAAAAAAAACAATAAATGGGATGTAGCTCAGTGGTGGAGAGCCCAATTTTGCAAAAATAAAAATAAAAAACAAAACCACCAATGTGCGTTTTTGAACACATAACATGGCATGAGCAGTACTTAGAGAGAGAAAGGGAAGGGACTCTTCTTCCCTCACTCTGGCCGGAAGAGTCTGGGCTATTTAATAGGGAGCAGTTGGTAGATAATGGCTACCCAGGGTTCGATGATTTGCGAAGGGAACTGCCTGCTGGTGACAGCAAAGTGATCTGACCTGCAGCCAGCCCTCCAAGCCTCCTCCCCCAGCCTCTGTTCTTCCTTCCCAGGGCCTCTGAAGTGTCCAGAGGAAGAGTCTCAAAACAAAGCCTTCCGCAGCAGACAAGGGCCAGCGGTGGGCCTGGCGGGGCGGGGCACTTTTTCTTCTGCCCCTCTCTCTGCTGTCCCCGCCGCCAGTCTGGGGGATTCTGAAGGGAACCCTGTGCTTGCTCTCTTTGTTGAGCGACATAAAAGCGGCCCTGAGAGCTGCCAGCAGAGCGACTGCACATGCTGAGGGGATAATCTGCAGATCCTCCTTCCCTTTCCAGACCACAGCTTGATTTTCCAGGGCCGTCACTCAGATGAAGACTTACAGAGGGCCTGTCAGCGGGGGCGCGCGAGGTGACAACGTGCTGCAGGGAGGGAATTAAATGAAGATTAGTGGGGCAGAAGACCCTCACAAAGCCCTGCTCTCACCAGGGCGTGCGGGGGAAGGACACGTGGTCGCGAATCCAACCCAGAGCGGGCCTCCTGCTCGGTCACTGCCTACTTCAGAGGCCGTGGTGAGGCTGGGGGGCACAGGGAGCGCTCCCGACGGCTTGATTTTATCATTAACCATTGAGAGCAAAGAGCACAGGAGCTGCGAACGGGGCAAGCCCACAATTTCAACTAGGACTCGATCGCGGGGTGTCTGAGCGGTGGACCCTGCCGCCTTTCTCCGTGGGGCCTCCGTGCCCCTCTGCGACAGTGGGTGCGCTCTTCCGCTCCCTGAAGACACCCCCGTTGTGATCACCCCTGTGCGCGACCCGGAGGGGCTTCCAGCCCTGACGTA